TATACTCATTTTAGCGAGCAAAGGCTGTTTCACGCGTACACAATATAACCTCGTTACTGTATCTGTTACGTTACAGTTCGATATTGAGTACGTGTACTGATTAGCGAGCTGTAACTGTAACGTGACGTCATCTGCGCGATACAGGTGATTGCGGCTGGTGGTGGTGGAGTGGCGCAGTGGGACGTGAGCACGCGCTTTTCCTTCGTCCCCTTTCCTCAATATGTTGTTGTTGTTGAATTGATTCAAACGTACGTAATAAGCAATTTAAACGCGATACAAAGGCGCGTTTGTGTAGCTTTATAGCTTTATAGCGCATTTGAATCGATACTGACTGACCAACAATCTGCTTTATGACCCTCTAAGACGCGTCTTAAGTGCAGGCCACACCGCGAACGAAGCTAAGCTAACTTAGCTTAGCTCACGTAGTTGCATGCAACCAACTATTTAGCTCCACTATGGATACGTCCGGGAGGTGAAGGGCGGCAGAGTATATATTTTTAGTTAGTGTTAGCTCGGTTAGCTTAGTTCGCGGTGCGAACGGAAGCATCAATGTGAACTAAGCTAGGTTAGCTTAGCTTCGTTCGCGGTGTGGCCTGCGCTTAATATATCTACATCTTGACAGACACAATAGGCAGGAACAATAAATACAAAATTTTTGGAATAGAGTGGAATGTAATTTATATAAAATGTTCCCCATTCCAGGTATGCCCTAGGCCAAATAATGACATCTGACAACACAGTAGTCTCTCAACTGAATATAACCCGGGTAAGGGTCGAAGACGGAGGCTTGTACTCCTGCACGGCGAAGGAAGGAGAACATACTGCCAGTCACGAAAATAGATTGGATGTTTATGGTAAGAAACCAACTGTAGTATTGAATTTATGAACTTACTGTCCTATCTAACCAAATAAACACCCGTTGATAATAAATGGGTGCTCTTTTGCATGATATTCAATCCACTTCATTCTCACTTACTATGATGTTTCTGTCAAGTGACAAAGGAGCTGGCCTGCCTAAAGATTGTTTTCTCGTATTAGCATGTGTGTGTGTGACCATTTATCTACTTCTCCGCTCTCAAAGTAAACTTTGCCTACTAACTTTCACAACACAGGTCAGCTTAGCTTGAAAGTCAGAAGACAGATAACCTTGTCACAATACTAATAAGGCGTAAATTGCATTGTCAACTTAATGCCTCATGGTTTGTTAGCGGCTTATATAAATAGGGTAAGGTTACGTTAGTTGTACCACCGCCTAAGTCCTATTCCAGCGATATATGGTGTCACATGCGTGCGAAGTAATATCTAGTAATATAAATTTTAACTATTTAATTAAGCGAGTAAACAAAAAGATTACAAGAAAACAAGAGATTTTGGGATTGTTCTCTCCCTTCAAAAGAATTATTTGCTTTTAACCACCTTAGACCTTAATACCTGTTTTTAGATTTTAATCGTTATTATGATCTCTTTCTATTAGTACTGTACTATACAGTTTATGACGTCCTGACTGCGGTGTTATTCTAAGTACGACTTAGGTTATAGGTGGTACAAATTAGGCGACCTGGTGACTAAATCGTACCAAAGGTGCTTTTTGAAAATCTTGTCAATGAACGTTTTTGGTATTTTCATTAAAACACATTGATAGTAAAATAAATAAAGATCCCGTAGACGCTGAAAGTTTTGTTTAATTTAAATAACATTAAATATTACAGCGATTTTTTCTTAGGGGGTACGACTAACGCAACCTTATCCTAATTATTATTTTTGGTATCTACTTCAAATGTTTACTCTGTAATAGCATATGAGATAAATTTTGAATTTTAAATAGAGAGGCGGTGTTACCTAACAATGGTTGGCCGGGGTCAAGGATTCAGGTTCAAGTACCAACGAACGATTTTATAATTATTGGCTAAGAACAGGGCTGTTTTGATTTCAGGACCACCATACATAAGAGTGTTACCACCTATAAAAGTACAAAGTGGGGACTCTGTAAATTTGAGATGTCCATTTTACGGTTATCCAATTAGGTAAGAATTTTATTTTTTATTATTATATAAAACAAGGAATAATTTCTAGACTAAGGCAATCACTTCATTTATCTACGTGGAATCAAAGTAGCCTGGACAAAACCTTTACATCCATGCAATAAGATCCGAAAAGAATCTCGTGTCGTTTACCATCAGGCGTACTATTTTCACAGTACTAAGTGATGGGACGAACAAGTCGTGCGCCTGATGGTAAACGACACGTCTTTCCATAACGGTTGCAGTGCCACTGAGACCTTTAAATCGCAAAGATCTGAGGGGCACTGCCACTGCGCCCGTCACCCTGACAAGTTGACAAGTTCCATGTGCCTGTAATTTTACCCTTCAAAACCGGAACACAGTAAGGCTGACATTACCGCTTGGCGGCAGAAATAGTCAAGGTGGCAGTACTTCTCTGGACGAACTCTTTCACAAGGATCTCTACAGCTACTACTTCTTGACTATGAGTGTTTTTCATGTCTTTTTTTCCGTCTTGTTTCCATTTTCGTGCGTGGTAGTCAATTATGGGTTAAAATATAGAATTGTCATTCTAAAGTTCCGGCTACCTTGAAATTAAGCAGTCTTTCATAAGTTTCTCATAGGCGGTGCTTGTAGCAACAAGGTGTTTAAGCCAACAAAGATCTGTAACAAATACATGCAGAAAATTCGTAAAATCTGCTGACTCAGGCAGGACCTCAACTTAACTAAGAGCAGTGACCGCATGACAACAGATACTCGTTCTATTCCAGTCAGACCGACGGAAATTTTCATTATGTTCGATCTTTGTATCAGTAATAATAAAAAGCATTTTCTCTTTCAGCAAAATAGACTGGGAATACAAAGGCAAGACATTAAACCCAAACAACATTTTCCAAACACGATACAAAAGATCTCACATCAAAAGAAAAACTCGTAGAAACGCACCAACGGTCACAATGAGCGGGATCCTTAATATACCAGATGTAACTAAAGAAATTAATGGGGAGGTCTTCACGTGCATTGTAACTAGCCCCTCAGGAGAAATGGCAAGAAGGTCTTTCGACATACAAGTAATTGAAGCGCCGGTACTAGAAGAATTGTTGTTAGGAAATAACCTACAAGAAGGACAGATTGTAAATATCTATTGTAACGTTAGAAGCGGTGATTTGCCGATCCACTTTGAATGGCTAAAGGATGGTAAACGGATTCCTAGTAGCTTAAAAGTAAGTAACAATAAATATATAAAGACGACATCACACACTTTGCTCTGATCGTGAAAGTAAGTAGCTAAAGCACTTGTGTTGTGGAAATCGGGAACAACTAACGACGGTACCACAAACACCCAGATCCGAGACAATATAGAAAAGTTAGTTTTTCTACGCTAATCCTGCACGGGATTTAAGCAGGGACCTCAGAGATGTCACATTTTTGTACGTTTGGTATTCTCACAGAAATAAATCTAGATAGAATGGCGACGTGGGCGGAGCACGCGTGCCCCAATCTTGACATATTAGCAAGATTCCCGAACGCTCTCAGTACGCGTCTGTTGTTGCTACACTGCACATGAAACAAATTCCATTCAAAATGCCATACAGTACTGTTTCTAGCTACCTAAATAAAAGTGCGAGTGTCAGTCGATCAGAACGAGGTATCTTCTTTGACGGTTAACTTAAATCCTGTGCAAAATAATTAAGAAACTTTCATTACAATCACAATATAGCCAAACTCAAATTTCATTGCGTGCTAGACAAAATGCATTCTGCGCTCAGCACTTTACATAGCGAGCAGCCTATAACAAATCGACTTTGACATCAGCTCTCATGCCTCAGGTCGCGGAAAAGCACGTGTAAAGTAGTGATGCAGTAAAGATTTATCGACTAAATGTTGAGTACATAATTATTTTGAAATAAGATAAAAATTATTATTTTTATTGTAACATTTTTAGTAGTCATGATCGTAATGGGCAGTAAAATAAAACATTATCAATTAAAATTTAACAATTACCAACCTGTAATTATCTAATCTACTTACTACCTATTAAAATATAATGTTATTATCACATTGCGTTTTCTTTTCTTATTACGGGTATAACAAATATCAATACCAATACATTTCAACAACATAATGGCGGAGTATGTCTAAAAGATGTCACGATTGATCCCTTTAAAAAATGCAACATCGCCATTTTCTTTTTCTTTCTATCTCTTCTTCAGTTCTATCTACATTTATTTCTGTGTATCTTCTGCTAAAAAGTTAAGAATAGTGACTTATCAGCATACTATTCAACTGCCATTGCAAATTTTTGGTATTATGAATTTCAGTGGTGAGTCGATAGAGTTGTCTACTAATATTTGTCGTTTCTTTCTGTCACAGGAATCTCGTTCAATAATGCACATTAGCAATGATTATTACATAAATGAAATGTTTACCTTATACAATAAACTTTGATTCAGAACTAAAAACAGCGCCTTTGTGAAATTATAATTGACGGAATAAAATACTGGAGTAGAAAACTTAATATTTTTCTTCTTCTTCAAGTGCCTCTCCACTACTGGAGGTTGGCCGGCAATATGGCAAATTTGTCCCTATCCAAGGCCAAACGATACAGTTATACTGCGTTCGTGACTCCGGTCCATTCCCTTATGTTGCGACATTTTGCTTCTTCCAGCACGTCTCTTGCCTTCAACCTTTCCCATCATTATAAGTTGAAGCAGTCGGTATCTATCATGTTGAAACACGTGACCGAGATTCATGATTTTGCTTTTCTTGGTGGTCCGCATTAGCGTGAGGTGTTAATGCACAGGAGTACAGTCTCGTTCATGACTTTCTACATCCAGCTGATATGTAACTTAAGCGGCGGTAGCACCACATCTCGAATGCGTCGAGACGCCGTCTGGTTTCTTCTTTGATGGTCCATGTTTCACTGCCGTAAATCACGATTGGCCAGATATAACAGTGGAGAATCCGGATTCCAAGTTGTATGTAAAGTTTTCGGCAGCACAACACTTTTTTCATTTTCATGAACGACGCTTGGGCGATTTCAATCAGGGTTTTTATTTCCTGCTCCGAGTCCCATGCTCCATTAACCCAAGCGCCAAGATGTACTGCCGGACTGCAGTACACCTGTACTGCCGGACGCTTGAGATATTTACCATCCACTGATATAGTTGGATCCAAGTCAGGACGTTCTGTTCTGTTGTGTTATATTTTTGCGGAAGTAAAATTTTATGCATTATTAAAAGTCATGAACCAAAAATTGTTTTTTGTGGTGTAGGAATATTGTCCTGCAAGGTTGTTAGTATTTTACAAATAACCCTGTATAATGCCACAAGGATTCGAAACGTTCATCTCTCGAAAAAGAACACTAAGATTGATGATGTTGATAAATAATCGTTGTCCCGCGTCTATCTATGCTAATACGAGATGTCCTTAGTTTTCCTAAAACACCCAACAACCTTGATGTTCCAGGTAGCCGAACGTAGTTCAGAACTATTTAGTGCTCTTGTCATCAAGAAAGTTGCACTGGAACATTGCGGTACTTACACTTGTGTGGCTTCTAATCACGTAGCTAAGGTTAACAAGTCCACTGAGCTTTATATTAAAGGTAAGTAAATAATGCTTTTGAGGTTCTACACCAGAAACGGGCTGGGTACCACTGCCCCATCCGTCTCTATTGCAAACCAACACCCCTATAATAAGCAGTGATCAGAATGGGTAGAGCTTTTTTACCCTAAACTTCGAGGAACTGAGTCCGAAAGTGGAAACTACCTTATAACAATTGGTTTGATCGATTCGAAATCGGGAAATCACTTAATTACTGAAAAAAAAATTTTAGAATTATTCCTAAAAATTGGTGGCTGCAACAAAGCGTCGCAAAGTTCAGATAAACACATTCAACCTATGTTGTTGTGTTCCGGACTGAAGGGAAAGCCAGATCAATAACAAACACGGAAGGTTGAAAGTGGTAACCTCCGCCTGTAGACATTTGCGATGCTGAGTTAAATGCGTTGTGAGCCATGGGTACGTCACGTCGTCCACATATTAAACTGGCTATTCCTGACCGTCGTCTTCACCGAATCGTATATTCATTAAGGATTCCATATATTGTGAAACAAAAACCTTGTGGAACACGTTACACACTAACGTACTTGGATGACAAACAATTACGGATGTGATCCGTTTAGTTATTTTGGCTATTTCCACTATGATATGATATTATAAAATGCGAATAAATGTTTTTTAAAGAGACACTATCATTTTTTTGACACGGATCTTAATTAGGATAATGGATAGATAATTTCAAGTGTAATTTGCTTATATCGAGCGGCAATAATGATCGAGAAAAGTCGAGCAAGTAGGCACCTTAAAAGAAACTTATGTACATTCAAACTTTCTAGAGACAGTAGTTTTGGCTGTGTGCATAATGCAACAAGACAATCCAAGAAAAAGTTCTGAGTGACATCGATATGCCGCGTGTACTGAGTTCAACTATATCACAAGTCAGAAATCATATTTTTTTGGTTTTGTTATGGGAGCTCAAACAAACTTCCCTGGTTTTCGGTAAACATTTGAAAAGTTATAACAATATTGTATACAGTGTGACACCATGAACCTTTATACTTGCCATGTCACAGTTGTAACTGTGTTGAAGCCAATATGCAATATCAGACTAATGATACTATAATAGGAGTAAGGTAGATAAAATACACATTTCAAAGGTTGATATTATTTCAGTTGCACCAAAGTGGCTAGAAGAACCATCAAATTCATCTCTCTTGCTGGGAAGAAGAGGTACAGTTTCCTGCAGCGCTAGTGGGTACCCGCAGCCTCAAGTGCATTGGATGAAGAAAGATGGTAAGTCATTCTAATCTACAGAAGCTTCTAATTAGTCTGTTACAGACATTGTATAATTATATGGACGTCGGGTCCGCGCTAATAAGTGTCCGAACTTATAGGGCGTTAAAATCGTATACAGAGCATCATTCACGCTTTAGTCTTCGTTTGTTCGACTGACAGCGAAGCAAGCAAAATTAGACAGTACTGCGATGACATTACAATTTAAATTCAACGTTTTAGCTTTTTCATATTCCTTTACATGTCACTACGTTTGAATAGGTTGACTTGGGACATTTTTTTCGTGGTTTTTGTATTAGACCCGTCGTTCATTTATTTGTAAGTCAATGGTTACAGAGCAAGGATTAACTGACACCATAATCACTACGTTTAACTAGTATATGAGCCACCTTAATTATTCATTTGTAAATTATACGTAGATAAGTATGTATGAGTATGAGGCGCGTTTGGCTGTTCATCGGGGCGTGCTGGTCCCAATCTTAATGTATAATAATGAGTGTTATGTGTGGCCGAAAAAATATAAAAGTAGGAGAAATGCTGCAGAAATGAGAGCTTTGCTGAATATGTGTGGTATTAGTCTTAAAGATAGAATGCCGAACAGTATAGTAAGAGAGCGTTGTGGTATGAGACATGATGTTGTGACCAGGATAGAGAGATGAATGTTGGTAGATTGACGGCACAAATTTATAGAGCGAATGTGGGTGCAAGCGTGGGGAGAGGTAGACCTCAGCGAACATATCTCAATCAAATTGAGGATGTCCTTAAAAAAAGGCCGGGTTAAAAGTACCAAGACTGAACGGGTATGTATGAAGAAATTGATGGGAGTGGAGGACGCTGGTGGGAGACCGGCGTGTTGATATGTACATGTATGTGTATATGTATAAGTTTGTAAGTCAACAGCATGTCAAGATAATAGTTGGTCCAGATGAACAGGGTACTATCTCAAAAACACAGATTTTTCAGGAAAGCAAATTTTAAAGTTTCTTCTTGCATTTTTTTAGCCGCTATTGTTATTTGGTTCTCCTCATCTATATGTGTCTAAACTCATTTAACAGAATTTTCGAATAGTTCTTATTCAGTTCTGTAGATTTGATAAAATCCTGGAATTGTTCAGAGAGATCTTTAATATTACCGTTTTGAAGACTTTTTGAACATAAAATATTTGTGATTCAGAGTTTTAACTAAACTATTCATGCTTAATACTTTTAAATGAAAGAAGAAATAATTTTCAATTCGATAAAACTTTGAGGAACATAGTAGCATCTCAAAAAAATACTCTATACTATAGATTATCATAACAATTCAATGAAAAATTATCCCAGAAAAGGTATTGCCTTGAAATAATCTTCGTTTTAGAAATAAATATTTTTAAAATACATTTACCTTCTAATGAACATATGCTGTATTTTAGTTTTTATACCCTGTTCAACGAACGACGACGTCTTGACGACTGCAGCTTTGCGTGTAATATTGAATACGACTGTGTTGCTTCAGGCTAAAACGTGCAAAAAGTTCAAAGATTTCACGTCCGATCATTATAACACCTTATTCATTAGAAATATCTCGATTATTTTAATAGGATTGCATTTTAAAGTAAACAGTCCAAATTTTTGAGTTGATACCCTGTTCATCCAAGCCAACGATATACATTTTTTTCAAATATCGCCTCCTGGGCAACTGAAAAAGATCTGTCAATGTGTAGCTTGATGTGCTGGAGTCTACACATCCGACATCACCGAGTTTACGCGAAAACGCATTAAGGTTGCGCTTTTGAGGAGCAACCGAGCACGTTTAGAAAGATATCGAAATAGATAGATTCTACAAGATTATGTCAATCAAAACATCAGTATTTCTTCATCCATTAACAATATTTCTTCGAACCTTTTAATATTCATCACCTTTATTGCGGGTATTTTTAAATTATAAAATAGTCTGGATATTGAGGTATAAATATGATGATTGATATGATCAGTGTCGCCCTGAGCCGTGGTCCACGTCCACTTAGTTGCCTTCAGGCCCGCTACTTAGTTTTAGTTTATTTTTAATAGAAATTTCTTCACTATTGAATTATTTCATAATTTTCTAGACTACCCATCTATATATCTTTCATCTCATTCATTACAGCCCTACTTGGCACTTGGCAGCCAGTTCTCGAACTAGCAGGAGGGGGAATCCTTAGTCTTCCAAACGGAACGTTGATCATCGAAGAAGTATCATTAACCGATGAAGGTTTATATTCTTGCAATGTTGAGAATGGTATTGGACAGCCTTTGAGCAAGACGATATGGATGAGTGTCAATAGTAAGTAGTCATATCATTATCTTACTATGCATTGCAACCATTTAATGACACTAGAGCTCCTAAAAGAGTTAGTCCAAGGAATTACTGCCATCATACATAATATCTGCAACAAAGCAGTGATGTAAATATTACTGGATTCTGGTTTTGAAAGGCAAGGCAGTTGGTGAAATTGCAGACACATGAGACTTGTCAAATTTATGTCTATGAGCGACGGGAGCAGTGGCAGTACCCAGGTTTTTGCCATTTAATGGCACTGCAACTGTGATGGATAAGCGTGTCGCTTACCACCAGGTGCACAACTTGTTCGTCTCTTTACTTGGTATCACAAAAAAGTTATCGTTTTTAAAATGTATATAGATAAGCCGAACCATGTTACCAATGAGCGGACGTATTACCAGAGACTGGAAATCGGCAGAATATATTTACCAAAATTTAATACCCACTTTAAAACATCGGAATTACATGCCCATAAGACTTGTCAACTTTACGTCTTAGGGTAACAAACTGGTAATGTCTCTCAGATCTTTGAAATTTTCTAATTAGTCATGGTTATGTTGTAGGAAGGTATGTTGTTTACCACCAGGCGCACGACATGTTCGTGCCGTCAGTTGGTATCATAAAAATAAAAAACCAAACCAAATAAGACTTTAATTGTAAATAATAAGCAGAGATTTCAATAGAATTGCCATGTTCACCACTTTTGGCAGACGTTTTTGCAATCGCAATAGTAAAGCTGCAACCTAACTGCACAGTTCGAAGACCTTGAACACACAAAGACACAGTACATACAGTAAATATAGTTAGCTCCTCTAGAAACGACGCATTGGTTGTGATTAAGTTACCTGGATAAGGTACAACATTATTCTTCAATAAACCCTCATGTTCTAATGCGAATACTTTTGTAAAAACTTTCCAGAACCAGTACACTTCGAGACATCATCTACAAACATAACATCCCGTCTTGGACATTCTATCACGTTAGAGTGTCGGCCATTGGGTGACGATCCCATTAGAGTATCTTGGACACATGATGGGAAATCTATTGACTTTCAAGGTCCCAGGTAAATATGTGCTCTTGAAATCTTGAAAAGTTACGCTTTATTGTTATAGTATACTAAATCGGTGTTTAAGGATCACGCTTAAAATGTTGAGACCCACACGATGAAACTATTTTATAATTAAATATTTCTTCACTGGTTTCACTTCTGATATTAATCTCATGAAACCTTTCGACAAAAAATTACGCCCGTTTTTTTTAATTATATTACAAATTACAAAAAATTATGACCTTCATAAAAATTGCTGTTAATTCCCATTTCCACAAAATCTTAATCGAAACATTACATCTAATTTCAGAATAAAACTCTCCGAATCCAAGACATCACAGGGTCTAATCAGCACTATCAGCATGCAATACACAGAAACAGCTGATGCGGGGTTATACCAATGTCGAGCCAGCAACCCTTATGGATCTGGGGGCTTTAATGTACATCTTACTATACTCGGTAAGCAATGAGATTTAAATAATCTTGTTACGTCGTCGAGCTGGAACATGGAATAAAAGATGGCGTCCCCTTGATATTAGACCAGGATCGTTGTTGTAACTTGGTCATGGATCACATCTTCCATCTTTAGATCGTCACAAGAAAACCTTTCCGCCTGATATTTTTTTTAGAATTCCCAATCAATGCGGTACTTTTCGTTACTGGGTCACCGACTTTCCAAATTCCAAACTCTGGTCATAACAGCTACAACTTCAAATTCACGTAACTGAAGCCAAAATATTCCCTTTCAGAACCTCCAACTCCACCTTCCGAGCTCCGAATCGATGCATTACGTTCTCGAGGCGTCACGATTAGCTGGCGTGACACACTTCGAGCTTATGCCAGATATTACTCCCTTCAGTACACCACTACGCACTACGCGGAAGTCTGGGATCATGCTACTGCTATTAATGTTACAAGGTACTGAATCTTTTAGTTACACTAAAACGTGCAAGTCTCATTGCTGGACACTCGCTATCTTTAGAGTATTGAGCTTTATGGGCTTATTCCTCTTGACTTGGGAGTATTTTTTATGTACTATTCTAAACTTTTATGAACCTATACAGTCCTGCACTACACATTTCTTCACGATTAGCAGCAGTAGAGTTCCTTGTGAAAGAGTTCGTCCAGACAAGTACTGCCTCTTTACTTATTTCTGCTCTAAAGCAGTATTGTAAGCTTTACTGCATTCCGGTTTTGAATGGTAAAGGTGCTGGAGAAAAACAGGTACGTGAGACTTATCAACTTATGACTTAGGGTGACAGGCGCAGTGGCAGTGTGACTCAGATCTTTGTGATTTAAAACTCTGAGTGGCAACTGCTATGGACAGGTGTGTCGCTTAACACCAAGCGTCCTTGTCCAGTCACTTGGTATAATTAAAAAAACTATTTTCTGCAATACAGTCCTGGGCCAATTACCTTCAGTGTCATTAAAAATTGTCGAAATTTCGAATAAATAAGAAATGGAGATACCATTTTAGCATACCTATATGGAGATTCTGTATCCGATATTAATTCGTCGTCTTTTGAAATTCCTAGGAAAGACAATGAAATCCGTCAAGTAATAGATCTGCAGAATCTCAGACCGGCGACTGCGTATGGCGTGAGAGTTGCTACCGGCAATCAAGTTGGAGTCAGTGTCTATACAGCGCCCGTACATTTTACTACTCATGAGGAAGGTAAGCAACGCTCGCTACTTATAGTACATGACAGATTGCTATAACCTCGTAGACATATCCAAATTATGTCGGATTGCTGTGTAACGCCAGCCACGGAAGATTCATTAGCGATTTCGGTAGTACTGCAATATAAAACACCTGGAAATAGGCGGCTAGAAGGACAAGAAAGATTGTGATCCCATTTCCCCGTCGCATAGCACTAATGGAGATATAGTTCTCTAAATATTATACACAATGTTATTTTTTGTCGATGTTTTCAGCTCCATCGTCACCCCCAATGAGCGTGCATGTTGAACCAACAGAGAACCCTGGGGAACTCTACATATCGTGGCTACCACCTGTGAAAGAAACTCACAATGGTGTCATTATGGGTTACCATGTGAAGGCTGTACCTCAGAATGTTGGATCAGGTAGAACCTCCGCAATTTACAATAGTATTAGGCTAAGAACTCATGCAGTGGTTTTCACCCCGCCCGCCGCGGTTGCAAATGTATGCAAAATTTAGCAGCACATTTCACGACGCGTTTTCCGCCCGCAGCGGAGACGGGTGCTCGCGGCGGCCGCGAACCGACCGCGACCGCAGAGGGCGCGGGCGACGCCCGCCAAGCGCGCCGGTTGTGTCTTTCTTTCCGACGCCATTTTGTGATTGATTTTCGATTTGGCAACGCGTGTCAATTTCTCAAGTTATAGATGTTGAAGTCGATCAATTAATTTCCTACCAGTTACCATTTATCTTAAAAGTTCTGAATAAGTAGATATGGTCATCCGAATAAAATTAAAGAATTTGTCTTCTTGTTTTTTTAACTCGTTAATAAAAACAATGAATGATCCGTAACGATTTCTTTCTGGATTCAGAGGATGCGGATGCACCCTGAATCTTTTAGGCCTTCTTCTTTTAATTCTTCGATGAAGTAAGTATAACGCGATAGCTCGTTTTTTATGTGAGTCCATGGCGACGTCTGAGACTTGACTGACGATCTCAATCGATTGTAATTAACCGCGCGTCTTGCGATCCTCTCCCGCCAAGTTTGCGGGCCTTTCTTCAACCGCGGCGGCTACGTGATCGCACAAACCTGCGGTATCGTGAGCGTTGAAATAAAACCGCTTCGTGAGTTCTATCTCTAAATGTCTTCTATGTGAAAATAAAAAAAAATGACTTCGCTTTAGACATTACGTCATTCATATAAAGGCGGCACTTCACGTAGCTGTTCGTATTCGCTATTAGATGTTTGTTGTACTCGGAAATATATTTGACGTATGACAAATATGCAAATACTAGTCTACACATGGAGCTAAATATGGAGTTTAAAAAACCGACCTCAAAAACTCGTGGAATCACATCTATTTGCCAAGTTTTGTTGAAATCCGTTACCGGAAACTGCGCGAAACCGAATTCATTCCGTAGTTTGTCACTCTGAGAGGTGGGATATTTTATTCAAACTTTAATAAGACCAATATTAAGGTACCCTCTTTCCAACAAAAAAGGCATCATCAAAATCGGTTCACGAAACAGAGTGATAGCGGAACATGCACACAAAAAATACAGTCAAATTGAGAACCTCCTCTTTTTTGAAGTCGGTTAATAATTTACAAAGGTGTCGCTAGGACTTATTCTTTAGTTGTACCTGAATTAAAATAACCAATAACGTTGTCTCAATAACAGTTTCCGAGGACTCGGACACAAGAACGGTAAAAATATCACAGCAATCTGGGAAGCAGGAAACTTTGCTCAGTGGATTACTAAAGAACACGAGGTAATTAATTTATAACTAATTTTACTTTATAGGTTGTAACAGTAGTTAGGGCGCGTTCAAATTTGCCGCTGTTAGTCGCGGCGGTAGCGCTGTAGGCGCGCGACGGCCGCGTGGTTGCAGCGCTTCTAGAAATAACCAGCGGCTAATTTGAACGCTCCCTTACTAGGCATTCACAATAAATCGTTAAGGGCCCTGCGTAGGCATCATAATAACTCCTTCAGACCGCTGCTGCGGCAGCCACGGTCCTGCAGTGCGTCTGCCATGTTTGCTGAAGCTCGCATCGACAGATTCATGGCACTCTTACGGAAGAAGAAAACCCTGTGTCGTGGATGCCACGGACACACATAGACTACCAAAAATTATAACCAAACTCACGAGAGAAATGAAAGTAGGCCACACAAATATTACTCCTGGTCCAGGAATCGGACCATAATCGTGCAGCCACGGAGGCAGTTATTTATAGTATTTGTCTCCTTATAATGAATAATACAACGATCGAACACCTAGGAAAAATTCCTTCGATCCTGCCGGATCCGAACCGACATGTCGGCGGATCTCACGTATTGTTCTATGTGCTTGTTGTCGGATCTTTGTATTTGGTTTTCAGCGGCTTTTAACCGTAGCGCCATCTATGAGAAATGTATGAAAGTATTTCGTCACTCAGCTAGGTACCTTTACAGCTACCATCCCTGGATAGAGATGTCGTGTCGCTATTAACTGTAATGAAATTTTTATTGAATGACAGAAAAACATTCACACTAATATAGTATTCAATTATTTTTTGTGAAATTACACCACTTTTTGTTATAATTATTAATACAAAGATCGAACACGTACAAAAAATTCCTTCGATCAGGCCAGACGCTATGCCAACTAAGCCACGGAACGAACCAGTGGACCTCACGAATTTTTCTATGTGCTTGTTGTCGGATCTGCGTATTTGGTTATCAACGACTTTGTAGCCGTAGCGCCATCTATTACATATTCATATTCATTTATTGTTGTCCCTGGACGAACTCTTTCACAAAAAGCTCTGCTGCTACTAAGAAAAAGTTTACGATACGTAACTCTAACACACGTAGGTGTTTTTGAACCACCTAAACAATTGAGGAATGTAGACGTACGAAAAAAGATATCAAATTGATGTTATAATCCGTTGAGAAATACCTAACGGATAAAAGAAATCAGGAAAGCCAAAAGTGTACATGAAGCTAATTCTGCGAAATCGCTCCACTTCTATCAAAGTAACCGTTGAGCATCACATGATTCCCAGGACGTGATTCTTACGTATACTCCATAGACTCCTCCACCCATACCGCAGCAGAGTAGTTGTTAGTTGAAAACCGACTTCAATTGAAAACCAAAATTTAGCAGGTTCCAATACTTAAAGAGAAATTTCCGTATAAAAATTATAAGCAAAGTTACATATTTTATTTTTAAAGTTTTAGACTTTTATTTAGTTTTCAGGACAGTTTATGATCCGGTGAAGTCCTTAGACAATTGGTGTATCGTATATTTTTTGAGTGTTCAATTCCCATGTTATAGTACAGGTTATATATGTATAGTACATCTATTATCTACTAAAAATATAGAATAACATGGTGGTAAAACCATCTCACGTTCAATAATAATTTTAATTACTATTTGTCTTATTATATACTTATACTCGTATACTTTGATATTACGTATATAATTCCAAAAGATGCCACAGCATCAGCATATACAAACTCAACTGAACTAAACAACTGAATTTCAGGTACAGCATATCGATATCAGCTTTCACAAGTGCTGGATCCGGACCGTTCTCTTTGCCTGTTTACCAGGATACTAGAGAAGGAGGTGAGCGTCTTTTTATTACTTACCAAAAGTTGACGTGCTTACACTTTTTCCTTATTATTAGTGCTCGTGTTATTTTTATAAATAACACGGACTTTAAATTGGAAATGATGCTATTTATTTCAACGTTTTCTTTTCTTACTAACCAATTAAGTAAGTTCCATAGTAATAGCAGTACTTTTATTCTCAATGTGTAACAATTGCAAAAATCTAAAAATTATACACGAACTTTGACGTCAAAAGACTATTAGTTTCATATTTGTCATACCGTTTACCAATTAAATTAAATCTCTTAATTCCTTCAAACAAGGTGCAAAATCACTTCTTTAACACCAAGTTACGTTTTTCTCCACTATCCCTTCAATTTATTTTCTGTATTTTCTTTTCCCGTCAAAAGTAAATATATAAGCATGTAATTTTATTATTTATTGTTTTGTACTCAATTAAAAGATCATTGTTTGTACTAATATATTTGTAAATATTTTTGCACGCACACTCAACATAGTGAGAAATAAATGTAGGCCACACAAACATTTATCCCGGCCCGGGAATCAAACCTGTGACCTCAGCGTGGCAGTCCGACATGGTAACCGTTCGGCCACGAAGGCAGTTAGTGTAGAGCATTTATGAAGATATTCTTTGGTAGTGTGTCTGATGCCTAAATTACTTAAATTACTGTTCTTTGCTTGTTAACCGACTTCAAAAAAGGAGAAGATTCTCAATTCGGCTGTATGTTTCTTTTTTTTTTTTGTTGTATGTATATATTATATTACACGACACCTCCGGCATTTGTGAACCGATTTTGATGATTCTTTTTCTTTTGTTGGAAAGAAGGTAATCAATCAGTAATGATCCCATCTAAATTTAAAGAAACTATTCCACCTCTAAGGGTCGTATTCTAGAACTCTACTCAATGCTCAAGTCAGGATTTGAGTATGGTTTAAAGCACTCGAAATCATACTCAAGTCCCTGCCATTAGGGTCGTATTTCCAGTGCAATCCTGACTTGAGCATTGAGTAGAGTTCTAGAATACGACCCTAAGGGTGGGAAACTAGGGAATGAATTACTTTAGAAGTCGGTTTTTTTAGTACTCTGTAAGGGGAAACGGGGCAGTTTGATGCAGGGGGCACATTCATACACTTTATCTACAATATACCTTCAAATATAATATATGTTGTGATAACACAAAAAAAAATAAGCGACACAAATACGAGTGCCACTGTAGTTTTGTTCACTTTACAGGGTTTTATGTTTTAATACGTGGGAAACTAGTGTTTCCAATAACTAGAATTGCATGTGACTTTGAGAGAATATATAAAGATTTTTTTTAATTTTTTTTTTTCTAAACTGGCAAGTGGGGTATTTTTATACACTAGCGAGTGGGCAGTTTGGTACTTATCAAAGTGCTCCTATTAGTTATTTTGTACGAAAAATGTGAAACTGTTTCAACAACTTATTATAAAGAGTGAAGTAGTGACATTTTGCGCTATAGTCAGCTCTTCGTCCTGTATTTCTACTTCCAAGAAGAGGTGCCCTAGAAAGAAGTCTTGATCTAGCAAGTGGTGAGACACATATAGCGTAATACTTTATGAACATTTGATCACCTATTGCTGATAATACGTGGCAACCAGGAATGGCACACTATGTTGATTCACACATCTAAGTGCCCCAGCGATGTATCAAAGTACCCCACAGGTAGGTCAGAATTCGACAATTCCCTTTTTTTTAATCAAAATTTTTCGATTATTCGATGATACTTATGACAGAAAATATTAAATTAATGTTTATTAGTTACATCATCAATTAGGTAGAAAAAATATGCATTATAATTGCATTTATTAGTCCAAAGTTAAAGTTAAGAAAAGTGTACGAATTTGCCCCGCTTCCCCCTACTGATTTATATATAGTGGAAGTATTCCACTATAATGTTGTTATTATTATAATTACAACGTTCGAACGAACTCAAAGAAAAATTCCTGTCCTGATCCGTCTGGACCAGCGATATCTTTCGCCCAACGCGGGTTATCGCTTTCCCGACTGACCTACGAAACTTTCTGTATTGCCACTATAATTTTATGCGCAATACAGTATAATACATTCATACATTAAACACCATACGTAAAATCTTTCCCTTTCCAGCACCAGAGCATGCTCCATCGTCAGTGGAATGCACAGCGGTTTCGTCAACTTCGCTGAGAGTGGGTTGGCAGCCCATCGTTGCCCCCGGCCAGGGCAGTTCTTTGATTGGTTACACCGTACTTTATGCTACCGAAGGCAAGTACTTGAAGTTTAGTATCGATTATTGTTATTGAGATTTTTTGTGCAATAACTCCACTGGTTTTTATTACAATTATTAATACAAAGATTGAAGAACACATAGAAAAACTTTTTCGACCCGATGGTACTTGAACCCACGACCATACTGCATCGTAGTACTCTTACCAGCTGAGCTACGGATGAAGTTATGGAGATGTCGAAATTCTCCTATGTGTTTTTGTTAAAGATCTTTGTACTGTATTTGACATCTAGTGAGAGATTTTAGAACCTTCTTTACCGCAGTCAAAGAGAAAAAAGAGAAAATCTGCCTGACGGATTTTTCTCTATTCTAATTTGAAGAAAATATTTCACCAATTGTGTTTCAAAAAAAGTGACAAATTAGGGGATCAATCTAGTTTATTGAATTTCACCCACTTTCCGTTAACCGATTTCAATAACAAATGGCACATAGAAGTCATATTGAAATAAATTTATCTTTTCTTTATCTTTAATTCGAATGAAAATTAAACACAGCGAAAACGCATGTGCAAATTTCCGAAAAACGTTAAAACGATCTTTTTTTAACTCTTAGGGGCTTTGATCATAATTGAACATGTCAGCCCCATCAGAAAAACAATGCATTAAAATAACACTTACTTAATAGAATCTAAACTGATAAATCAAATATACTAAAAAGGTTAGTCGGAAGAAATCCGAACGAGCGAGCGAGCTTATCCCACAGAGAGATAAGCTCGCCTTTGTACACAAATATTTTAAATTGTTTCTGAAAAATTGTAATTTATTTTGTGGTACAGTAAAGTGTTTAAGTAAATAAATAAATAAAATGAAACACGTATGTGTACACCAATTATGGACGTGGCTTATGCTGAATGAAGTTCTTTTGCGTACGCCACAACCGCAAAAATGACAATACAAAATTTGTAATCGTTATATTTTGTCAGTTTGTCCTGATTTTTTTTGTTTTAATGTATTTTTTACTTTGTTTTGCTTGTCTGTGCTATATATATATATTTTAATATATAAGGGTTGTGGCGTTGCAATAAATGTATATTCTATTTTATTCTAAAAAATAACTACTTTACCAAACGTGAGTACAAAATCGTTGAGGCACTACTTGTTGACTCAGACAAAACGGATTGAAACCACATAACATTAAATGTTCCAAAACCAACCTGTGCAAATAACCGCGCCCTGATAAGTTCCATCCAAACACACTCCGTATAAACAAATGATGTACATTTTCGTGAATTTCACACCCTACGCTATTTGGAGAAAAAAATTTGTTTAATCTGGAGCGAAGCCTATACTCACTAAGCCTATACACGCAGACAATTTGAGCTCTGGTTAATTTTACGTAATCATACCAAGGAACACGAGGAGGCTCACATTTTCCCAGGCACTAATTCGTGCCGCCATCAAATGGTCCAAATCATCGAATAATATCAATACATTTATTTCTTTGTGTTACATTGGTTATAAAGGCGTAACTATAACGAATTTTGAATCAGTATTATGATCCGTCTTGAAGGTTTACATAGTTAATATATAATTTTCATGCAATAACTTGTAAATACACATATTATAATCATGCCGTCGAATTAATCGCAACCTAATACTAATAAAACATAACAACAATAATAGATTTAATAAGTTATCTTATGGTGGTTCCCGGGGTAAGTTGTTCTCACAGTAATAACTTTGCAAGAAAAATATATAGCAATATATGTGAAACATGTCGTTAAAGCGTCAGGTGATGGGCATTCTCGGCAGCCATTTCAGTTACTCCGGCGACGACGGAAGTGTGGCTATGTGCGTGAAGCTGTCAAAACATCACGTAAGTACGTGGCTATGTGCGTGAAGCTGTCAAAACATCACGTGAGTACATTTCTTCTTGTTAAAATTTTTTGGTCTGTCTTTGTTTATTATGGGCCGATTCATACGTAACTTTTCTAAATTGTAGTGACATTAGTAAGGAATCTTATTGTTCGAGTATTTTTTTGATTGATTCTATAACTTTGCCGGTATGTCAGTCTTCGTATAAAAACGTAATTTGGGGCTATAAGTTCCTCTCTCGAGGGGCTGGTTGTTCCTAGGAACACCTTCCCCAATTGATCTGCAATCATTCTTAAAATTTTTATGACCATTTTTCTTTGTTTTAAGGATGCGAAACTACAAATGGGCTCATGTCAAATATTTAGACAATGTGATAGAGTCACTTATGTGTGTCTCAACTGTGATTCAGCTAAATAAGCTATGAATAATATACTGATGAATAAGAATGTAGTTTTTTTTTTAAGTTAGTTGTGCATAATATAAACATTACATACATACAATTATAAAAAAGGTGGTTTTATTTAAGAAAATCCTTGTTATCCTGTGATAATTTAGGCGGAACAATTTGGCTCAAAGGCGGAACAACGCGCCCCAAAGCGGGGCTGAATGTGCCGCTCCGAAATTTGTCAAAAATTAGCCTCTATGAAAAAGACTATTAAGATATTAGTAGAAGTGACTATACTATTACAAAAAGCGATAAACATTTGTTCAATATTTCCACATGTTGAAAATCAAATCCTTCATTTTCAGTTATTTGAAAATCGGAACGTTCAGCCCCGCTCTCCCATAATTTAATAATAAATTCTGTGCAACTATTGTTTCTCCGTATTGCATTACACAATCGTGAAATGCCAAGTCAAGGAGAAAAATCTTCCAAACAGTATATTATCCTGTATTTTTTGTTTCAGAAGGTGCCTGGCACAACCAAACATCTTTGCACACGGAGCTTTATCTGCAAGGGTTGCTTAAATTCACAAACTACAGCATCAAAGTGGCTGGGTTCTCCAACTATGGCGCAGGACCTTATTCCTATCCTATTATCTGTGCCACCTTGCAGGATGGTAAGTTCTTCAAGACCTCGCTCATTTGTAGACATATAAGGTTTGAGAGACCCAGTGAAGTGGTTAGTTCTACCTGCATCTGACTTCAACACATTAACATTTGTGATTCGTTATCATTTGAGCCAAAAGACATCCACTGCACAGAATATAGGCCCAAAAGATTGACACTTCGGCTGGTCTTGCGCTGCTCGCATTCGATTCCCACATTCCCTTTTGTGATCATTTAGTAGCAATACCTTTTAAGTAGCTGTAAGAGTTCGTCCAGAGAAGTACTGCCACCTTATCTATTTCTGCCGTCAAGCAGCTATATAAGTATTACTGCGTTCCTGTTTGAAAATTACAAGCATATAGGACAAGTTAACTTATGTCTCAGAGGGACTAGCGCAGCGATAGTGTCCCACAGATCTTTGCGATTTAAAGCTTCTGAGAGTCTGTGCAATTCTTATGGATAAGCATGTCGTTTACCACCAGGCGCACGACTTGTTCGTACCGTCACTAGGTATTATAAAAAAGAAAATACCATAATAGTGATGAAACATGTCGAATGAGGCACATAATCATTGTAAACCTTGTAGTGACGAACCCGCATTGGGCCAGCGTGAAGGACTATGGCCTAAACGTAATGATGATGATGAATTACCTACATGATTTAATGCCGTCCACTTCTTTCGGTCATCGGTCAATTAGACGCCGCGAAGGTTTTCACCCTTATAATATAGTATAATAAATATAAATGGGATTAAGAAAAAAATTAGTAACGTATAAAGATAGGCTTAATCGATTTCAACTAGATTCGCTTTGCGTGAGACGGCGAGTAGCTGATCTTGTGATGTTGCATAAAATAGTAAATTCCAAATTAGATACTGATATCTTAAGCCATGTTTCACTGAAGGCTACCAATAGGTCTAGCCGAAGGCAACATTTGTTTTCGGTGCCCTCTACTGCAAATAATGTGTCATATAATAGTCCTCTTATACGCCTATGCAGACAGTATAATGTCTTATCTAAAGATCTCGATGTATTCCACCAGAGCACTAACACATTCGTAAAAATTATAAAGAACCATGACTGTACCGTAGCACGCGAACACCTCACAGAGTGAAATATTTTCTTTTAAAGTATATCATTGTTTATAAGACTTGGATAGCCATATATAAATTTTAAATGTTATTTCAATGTTGTGCGCGGTTGTTATTGAGATATGAATTTGTTTGTTTTTGTTATAGTGTTATGGTTTTAGGTGTATTGTATAATTTGTATCTTGTAACTGTGCCAAAATAAATAAATAAATAAATAGTGCAACTCCCGCCTATTCGGCACGTCAATGCCTACATTTCTCTCAGAACGTAGGGTTGTCAATTATTATTTTGGTTATAATTACATGTTGTAAACATCTTTTTTGTAAAAATTAAAGTGGTCATCACAGCATTGTAATTATTATTTCCCAGTATTGAAATAGCTGTTGTTAAATTCAGTACGAGTACAAAATAGAAATATAAAGCACGGTTATGAAATAGTAATGCATAGCAGAACAATTCTGAATTTGAGGCATTCTTTTTAAAACAACACTAAACACAACAATGCCGAGTGAACGCTTTACTTCTATAACGAATGGCGCTTGCGACAATCCACGCTATGCAAGGCGAGTGCATTGTCAGATTGTGCGTATGTGTACGTCCGTACAGGGAGCGTCACGAGCGTGCACATGTACAAGTCGCTCTGCTACGTTTATATGGAGTTACACCACTTGTGTTATTTATTATACTATAGATGTTTCATCAAATCGATGAAACGCTTTGCTTCTACTTTTATTATTAAGCGATACAACGTACATCTACACTTCTCATTTCATCAAATTAGTTTAAGACAAACGCAAAAATATCTTATTTCAAATCCATTGAAGAACCGTGGTGTAACCAAATGGCCCACATATTTATTCTCATCGTTTGATACTGTTTACAGTGCCTGGTCCTCCAGCTGACATCAAAGTTCTTGTGCTCTCGTCCACGTCTCTGCTAATCAGCTGGAAACGCCCAGAGCTTCCCAACGGAGAGATCACGCATTACACTGTTTTCATCAAACCAACTTCAAGGTTACCTCTTACGTTTTCTGCAATATTTCCATTAGAATTCTTCAAACCGTCCCATTTGAACAGTAGCGAATGTTGTCAAACAGAGCATAATTTACATAAACAAAATAATGATGGACTTACAGAACCATGCATTTGTGCGAGAAAATTGAAAGACATATGTCCTTGATATCACTTAAAGCCACAACATGGAAGAAGAAGAAGAAGAAAAAGACAATATGGAAAAGAATCAGTTTCGATCTCAGATGAAAATATTAAAAGGCGTAGACTTTTTTAAATGCCAAGCTAGACAACTCTGTCTAGCAGATAGAATTCGTTCTACTGTAATTCCATAATCCGATTTCTAAAATGACATTTGAACCCACAGTAACGGCCCAGCTCAAACAACCCGCGTTAGCCCCTCCACCACCACAGCAGAAATCAAAGACCTCACCACGGGAAGAACGTATGAAGCCTGGGTGACTGCAAGTACAAAAGCAGGTGAAGGAGCTGCCACTAGAAGGGTTTCTCACACTCCTGCACAACGAGGTAAATAATAACAATGGCCTATATAAACGCTATAAACTGACGTTGCTGAACAATATAATTTTGTTAGAAGCACCGTTAATTTACCGACAACTCGATAAAAAAAACTAATACTAAGCGATATTAGAGCTACGGATTCTGTAATTTGGCTCTTAATGCATGGACATAGAGGTTTTCTCGACTAGCTTAATGCAATCCCGTTTCAATAAATGTGATGACTCCCAAATTTAGTTATAAAACGGTTTGTAAAATTAGAGCTCTTTATAGCCTTAGTGACTCCAAAGCCTTTTTGTTAAGATAGTTCTCTGGACATTTACTAAGGATAAGAATAGAATCTTTCACAAAAGGAGCAAACCATTTATAACAAGACTTGGGAAGATTGTTGACCCTAATCTAGAGACCAGGAGATTCTTTTTTCAGTAATAGATAACACCACGCCCTAATGCATAACGGTTATAGTTCTTTTCGGTTCATGGAATTTTTATACCTTGTGATGTGGCGGCCACATTTTGCAGTTCATTCATTGCGATTGGAGTGAATACAAAGGCATTTTATGTGGCACCTTACTGTAGTTTTACATATAGTGGAAGGTTAAATTATTTCATATTAATTTTACTTGACCAATGAAGAAAACTCCTAGCCCTCAGTTGCTACCTCTTTTCAATTACCGTGTCCCGTCGAGACTATCCCATCACCACATCGCGCCTCTCTGTAATCCGTCAAGACGCACTGTCTTAGACAAACTCACCTGTACCCACACTGTCCAATCTGCTCAATCAAATCAGTCACCATTGTGATACATATTTCACTTGGCAAGTACCGCGTGCTTGTTCTCAGCAGTTGTTAAAAATTCTTCTTCTTATTACTACCTCTTTCTCCTGTTATTCCAGTGGTCGCCGGAGTAGCGTCACTTGGAGGTACAATATCAGTAGGTGTGGGCAGCTCCCTACTGCTCGTCTGCCAGTGTGTAGGCGTCCCACCTCCAAGGACCATCTGGTACCACAAGAACAACATCATAACTCATCATCCCAGGTTCACTAGGAACCATGATGACAGCCTGCTTATTAACAGTAAGTACCCAAAGCCTAACTGGACAACGCTTATGTCGTATGTAAGATGTCCTTGATTAAATTCTCAACCTAAGAACTTCATCACTGAGTCGAATCTAGTGTGATTTAGATTACCAATTATCTTCACTTCCTTTAACTGTAAATGAAACGTGCTTTTCAAGGAAAGAATTATAAAACTCTTCAAAATTCTGACTAACTTAACTGAAGAACATGTACAAAATCACTTATACATGATAATAAGGCAACAGATGTGTGTCAGGATCAAGTGGATGGCTGTTGTCTCTTCCTACCCCGATGGGAAATTGATGATGTGTAATTGTATGTATGTATGTAT